ATCAGCCTTGATACTACTTGGATTCAAACGAAATCAACTTTATTTGACCCATTTGTGGCCCGAAAAAGAATTTATTGTTTGATTTTGTCTGGGCTTTGTTAATAAACAATGAGATGTGAATGTTTGAGCTTAAGTTATAAGAAAAATAATGGGTTGTGGCTTATTTAAAATATTCTTTTACTAAAATTTTTTATTGGGATATCAAGAAATCAGATTGAGCTTCGAAAAATTATGGACGTTGTATATAAAGAAGTGTTTAGTTATATTTGAATTTTCTTTCTTAAAACTTTTTTTTTCAATGATTATGTTATAATTTTTACTATTGTTTATATTTTTTATTATTTTATTTTTTATCATACAGTTTTCCGTGCAAATGCACGGGTAACAACTAGTTCATATATCAAACCGAAGTGGAGATTAATGAACACACTATTATGCATAAAAATAACAAACACACTTACACACATGATCGATATCAATTACAACAAACATGGCGGATTAACCATATATATATTACCGCGTCTTTTATTCCCTAGTTCATAACTAAATCAAATTGCTTGCATGAGATGCAACAATGGGTGGGCGCAATAACACATAAGATAAGTAAGTAGGTGACAATATTGCTTTTTCTCTAGCGTGCACGCACCGGAGGAATGCTCTGCTCATTTCGAAAAAAGTTTGAAGGGTCGAACTTAGACTTTACACGAACCAACCGATCGAAGTTCCCCTTAAAGTATCTTCGGCCCCACACACTAGCCTGCTTGTAGCTCGTGTTTCCCGGGTTGTTTGATCCCAAGTCGAGATCCTTGTAGTTAAAATAAGCCGAACGAGGCGAACTTGTGACATAAGGAGTCATATAAGCGTACAATCGCCTAATCCAGTCGAGGTGCCTCTGCAACTCTTCATTTCCGGGTCTTAACCAAGTTACCATGTAATGGACCATGAATATGTTGCCGGCTCGGTGTGGGAAAGGGGTTTCGGATTCCAAAAGATCATCCATAGCTCCTCCATAAGGGCTAAATTGCACTTCGGCCATATCTTCGGCTTCTTCGTGTAGAAAACTCCATATCCCTCTTAGGCCGTTTATAGGGATTGGTTGCGTCACGAAGTCCGACTTGGCCTTGATGTACATTGTGGCTCGGGGTGTCCGGCTGAGCAAGACATCGAGGGGTTGACCGAAACGACCTTGGAAATAGAGTATTGATTCGATCCAACTCATTTCAATGTAGTCCTGTTCGACTAGACCCAACTCTGGAAACTCATTCTGCATCAAGGGCATAAGGTCACTGACTGGGCCGAGGTATAATGCGAAGAAAATAGCATTAATAGTTCTGTTCTGACCATTCGGGGAACGCACGCTTCTCAATGATAGCCTAATCAAGAGGTTTCTGTCGACCTTATGGGCGACATATTGCCACCTATGAACTAATCGAGTCGCGTTCTCTTCTAACGTTCTTGTGACGTTGAATACGGTAACAGTTTTTGGAATGGCGACTACTTTTACTTTGAAAGCGATGATAATACCGAAACTAACACCACCGCCTCCCCTGACGGCCCAAAAGAGATCATCTCCCATGGACTCGCGATTGAGAATTCTGCCGTCGGCATTGATTAATATGGCATCGACGATCTGGTCGGCTGCGATAGAGTGCCTACGGGACATCATGCCGTAGCCTCCTCCACTGAAGAGACCACCCACGCCCACCGTCGGGCATACGCCGGCCGAGACAGCAATGGTTTTGCTCCTCAGGGCAAGTGTGCGGTAGAGTTGGCCTAACGTGGCGCCCACCTGCACCCACACAGTTTTCTCGTCGTCTTCGATCCATACGGATCGAAAGTTTCTCATGTCGAGGACTACGAAAGGGTTTGATCGGGAGGTGTAGGAAAGCCCCTCATAGTCGTGACCACCGCTCCGAACCCTAATCTGCATGTCGACTTTCTTAGAACAGAAGATCGCAGCCTGGATTTCAGATTCGTGGAAAGGGGTGATTATCATAGAGGGTCGTTCCGGGGAGGTTGACGCGGGTCGTAGGTTCTCGGTCACGAGAAGGCTTGCATAGGATGCATTTTGTGGGGTGAAAATCACGTTGGTTGCTGAGTTCGACCTCTCGAATTGATCAATGAGGCATTCGAGAAAGTCGGTGTTGTGTTGGGACGAAGAAGCTCCTAACACAAAAAGGGTTACCAAAACTAAAGATGTTAGGGTTGTTGTACCAAGTGATGCCATTTCTTGAGTAGGGTTGTGATGCTTAGTTGAAGGCCAAATTGTTCTCTTTATAGATATTTGGGGGTGACTTTTCAAACGAGTTTGCGTGTGTGCATACAAAGTCATATGTTTTGAGTTGAATCCCTTCATTATTAAACAAGATAGGAAAAAATTGAAGTTCATGCATGTGGGCTAGCGATGAAATTCTTGATTTATTTATTGTAACCTTTCCGGACAAAAAAAAGTCCAATTGAACAATTCAACCCAATTTATTTAGTAAATCTATCTCTATCAACTGGCTTGTTATTACTTAAAAGAACAAACCAACCAAAAGTCTTGTTTAGTTAAAAATAGGTGGAAATTGAAGTTCATGCATGTGGGCTGCGATGAAATTCTTGACTTATTTATTGTAACCTTTCCAAAAAAAAAAAGTCTAATTGAGCAACCAAAAGGCTTGTTTAGTTAAAAATCGAACCAACCAAATTAGGTCGGTTCGTTAAAGAGCTCTCATTTACACCCTTGTGGTCTGGTGGACCATATGAATGAAGATCGCGATACACAAATTATCCTAGAATTGGGTTAAACCGACAACAGCACGAACGGTCTTCTGTCTCGAGCTCCGGTGACTTGTGCCAAATATACAAGGGAGGGGTCTTAATGAAAAACCCTTGACAGTCGAGTCAGTACTCGCTCGTGGAAATATGTTAACTGTACGTTGTAGGCGTAAATATGTGTTGTGTAAAAATAGAACATGATCACCCTTTACATACCCAACAGTGTGTTGGGCCCAAATTCAAGTAGAGTTCTTGCTAGGAAAAAGATCCATCTCTTTCTATTTTTTTAGTTTACTGCGTCTCTAGAATTTGACTCCTTAAGGAGATATATATTCCATCGTTGAAGAATTTTGTCTTCTCTTACTATCTGACACTTAATCCTTAGATCGCCTTAACGACCTCAAAACTTATCTACCATGGGGTCGCCAGCATGTGTCGCAACCGTGACATTCGCTCTTACGACCTTCAAGTCATGTGGTCCCTCATCTGTCCGAGCTTTTGGAGAAGCTCGACCTCCAAGTCTTCTTATCTGGTCGACTTGTACCCTTGAGCTGCATAAGCGAGCTCCTAGCAAGGTCACACGTTGACACCAAACTTAAATCCACCCTTAGATCGTCCATACCCAAGCTAACCCCTTCTGCCAATACACGGAACTATTCTAAGTGTTATTTAAATCGTATTGTCCAAGTAAAATGCAAATGTTTTAATTATTTCTTACTAAAAGGGAAAATGAAGGGACCTCCACGCAGGTCGTGTCTCACGTGAAGACAAAACCATTTTTTTAAATAATTTTTGACAATTGAATTTAAGATAAGACTTATCTCTCTAACTGCAAGCAGCTTTTCAATTTGGTAATATTATATTATATAAAATATAGTTTTCTCTTTTTATTTCAACCTTCATGATTCAAGAGGAATAATTAGAGATTTAGTCGGTACCTATTTGAAGTTTAGTCCTATAAGTAACTCACTTTTAGAAAACATTCCGTAAGTATCAAAAATCATGAAAAATGGTCCTGTCACCGGCAAATGCAGGTCACTTTTAGTGGGTAGTCTACGTGAAATTCTAATTTTTTTTTTTTTTTTTGTTGAGTTGTAAGCCACGTGGAATATGTGGCATAATTACAAAAAATTTGTAGAGGAGAGGGTTCGAACCCACGTGGATAAGCCATGCAAGTGGCTCATGAGTCACTTGACCTAATATAACTTATGTTAAATATTTGGCTTCACTTATATATCTACCAAAAAAGTTTTATCCAAATATATAAATATATATATATATAAATATATATATATATATATTATTTAACTATGTATCTAACAAAAAACGTTTTATCAAAAAACAAAATGTATATATATATATATTATATAATTATTGAAATAAATACAGAATATATTAATTATTTTTAAAACAAATCTAGAATTTATTAAATAATTATCAAAAACAAAATATATATTATTAATTTATTATTAATTAAATATTATTCTCTAAATAAATAAATATAATAAATAATTTATAAATATAAATTAATAAATAAATATATTTAATACTATAATTTATTTTTATTTATATACAATTACAAGATTATATTCAATATTAAAGTATTATTTTTTATAAATATATGTATATATTATTCAATTTATACTACTCGTAATTATAAAATTATACATAATTTATTAATAAATTATATATATTATTCATTTTTATATATTAATAAAAATTTATTAAATAACTAAATGTATTATATAATTTATTATATTAAAAAATAAATATATTAATTTATATTATATGATTTTCTCATTTATTATATGAATAAATAAATACAATAAATAATATAATATTACCTTTTATTTAAATAATTGAAAATAAAATAAATACTAAATATAGTAAATAATACATAATACAATAAACTATACTTAAATAAAGTATATAATTACAAAAATAATATAATGTATTTTGTTGTTTATTTTTTTTTTTTTTTTTTTTTTTTT